CGGCTCGAGCCATTCCTCCAGACCATCGCTTCTCGCCCAGACTTGGCCCGCGCTGTCAAGACGGTCTTTTTGAAAAAACGCTTGCTCGAACAGCTCGACTTTGATCGAAGCCGAGAAGCTTTCGATGCTTGTTCACGTATATTCGGAGTCAGCGCCATAGAATTCTTTGACAGCTATCGAAATACTCTCGCTATTGCCATAAAAAGGTCCTTTTTTCGAGGGATACGTCCTCCGGTATCCATGATGCGGGATGACTATATACCCATAGTCGCAGGCCAACTTTTGTCCATTCTGGTGGCTATCCTTCCGAACCTGAGTCACATTGGCCTTGAAAAAAGTTTCCAGTGGCGGTTCGATGTGTCACCTACTACTCTCGACAAACTGGGCGTCAGCTCCATTGCTCTTAAGACACTCGAGACTGATTATAATCTCCCAAATTTATTTGCTCGGGCTCCGGAGCTTGAGACCTTGGTGACGTCCGGGTCAGAGAGGTTCCCGAGTATGCCTTCCATAAGGAACCTTCACATTGGATCCAGGAACGCCGTTCTTGCCTCTAACATAGAGCACCTTATATCAGCATGTACTGGTACTCTATCCGCGTTTTCTTACACTTCATGCGACTCTGACGTCCTTGGTGTCGTAAATTTCCTCGACAAGCCAAGGTTCCACGCAAGTCTTGAGACTCTGCACCTTAACATGACAAGACGGGATCACCAGGGCGATCATAAAATGCCCAGCTTAAAGCAGTTCACCCACCTCAAGAAACTCTTCCTCCCTACATACCTTCTTTACGGCCGGAAATTCCCCGCCTGCTGCGGGGGAAGGTGCAATTTCAAGTCTCTTGTTGACACCCTTCCGTCTAGCATCATGTCTCTTGATCTCTCGGAACAGACGCTGACGCCAAATGGCCGTATGCAGGATGATCTGCTCTCCTTATCCGAGGATGTGGCTTTCGCCTTCCCGCAGTTAAGGGAAATCCGAAGCAATTCTGATTATCTCTGCGATGAGTACCCTAAGGCTTTGTTCAAGAGCGTTGGGATCGATCTTATACATCAAGATCCGAGCATATGTTGCTGGGTAGACACAGCTCTTACAACAATCCTCAACTCGTTGAATCATCATCACAATCTATTTTGGTATGTCGCTAGGTACGGCGATGCCTTGTGAGCTTTCTGATGACGATTTGTGAAATTGACTGTAATAGGGTTAATAGGTTAAAAGAGGCTTTAGCCTTAAGTCTATAAAGAAAAGAATATTAAAGCTATATATATAATTAAAATACTTATTACCTTTATTTTTTAATTACTTTTTCTTCTTTATTTTTTTCTTTTATTTTTTTATTTTTTTTACTTTATAATAGCCTATAATTCTTATAACATAACTAGGTCGTATGTCTAGTTATTCAGTATACCATGCTTCTACGACCAAGCTTGGCAGCTTGACTTTCAAGTCCGCCAGGACTTTTAACAAAAAAATGATAGATATACATACAAGTCTTGACCTTACAAAGGCGCAGACATCTCAAAGCTCATATCATAGTTGAAAAAGAAATCGCCTGGCAAGTCGGGGAAGAAAGCATCAACCCCTGAGACTCCCGATATCCCTGCATCGCCATTCTGATCCATCACTACCCCCAACGGCGGGCCCATATCCCCTGGAATCTCCAGCTTGAGCGTCTGTGCCATCCTCTCAAGTCCACCAGTCATGAGATTCGCCAGATGCCACTTCCCAGCTGGCTGCGACCTAAACTGCTGCACTAGTCCCATGATTAGTTCGTAAACTTTATCTCGTTCGATGAGATCGTGGTATTTTGTCGCGACTTTGGTTAGAAACATGGAGGCGAATGCTGTCATGGAGTGAACATATGATGGCATCCCAACGATACCAAGGGCTACGTCGGGATCGTTGACGAATTTGTCGATAATTGTTGTGGCGGCTGTTATGCCGTTGAGGGCACAGTCGAGGAAGTAGTGTGGGATATGTTCGTCTTTGGAGAGGCCGCGGAAGACGTGGGAGTAGAGGTAGAGTTGGGCGAAGTTGTAGTGGAGGATAATGCCTTTTCTTGGAAAGCCTCCGATGCCAGGCCAGCGTTCTGGAACACGTTAGCTCCGATATTCTGATGAATTGAGTGAGCCGAGTGGGTTACCTTGTACTTGATCTGTCCAGAAAGCAAACCACTGATCAAGTTGTATCCGAAAATGCGAAATATGGTTCAAATGCAGCCTTGGTATCGGCTTCCCCTTATTCGCAGTAAACAACTCACGGATACTCCTCAAAATACTCACAACCGTCACCTGACTCAACAACCGTCTATCCTCCTCATGCGAAACAGCGCAATGCAAGAAATCCGTAGCGCCCTGCGTCGAAGGATCTTCCTGCACTATCGACGGTCTCCCATACTGCGTCGCGAGTTGCTGATCACAAACGCAGAGTATGTACCAAATCCTCGCACACTGCGCATCCTCAGTGCTAGCTTTTTCAATAGCTCTGTCGTAGCTGTTGTGAAGGTCGAACTCCGCTGCTCTTCGTATCGCGTGGCCTGATAGCATCCATGATAAGTCGCTTAGCCAGTAACACCCGATGCACAAGGCGCGGAGATAATCGCGACTCAGTCGTCTTTCGAATATTGACGTCTCGAAGAGTCTACGGAATTCGGAGCTTATCACGGGATAGATGTAATCTGCTGTTGAGTCGTGGAGAGCAGCTACTGTAAGGACTGCTACGAGAAGAAATTGGCTCTTTTGTCGACATTCCTGCATCGTCTCATAGGGGCACCCAATTAGATAGATGTACGGATCAAGACGCTTCCTGTAAAAGTTGAAAAGTCGTTCTGCGTCGGCTAACGATATGAGGCGTTTCGTAATCACATCTTCCATGCCTGGATTCTGCTGCGAATTCATGTCATCCGGTGACCGAAGAGCGCGTAGTTTCGTGAGGGTATATAGTGAGTGAATAGGTGCGTAGGGGACATCATCGTCTTCTGGCATGAGCTTTGGTGAGTTGTCGCGTGAAGGAACGTGATGGCCTTTGTTTGACAGGCTTGGTGATTCATCTTTTGGTCCTTCTGCTGATCCAGAGAATGAGCGGAGTGGTGGTAAGTCCAGGTCTAGTCTGCCGGCGACTTGTTTGAGGAAATTGTGCATGTCGGAGAGGTCAGAAACCACATTCTCAGTGAATCTTAGGACTATTAGTAAGGTGAAGTTTTGAATAGGGGAATTACTGTACTGTGACTTCTCATCAAGAATTGTCTGTAAATTCTTCCCCAACACACAACCAAGCCCCTTCTCTGCACATCGTCGACAGGGTGGTCCGTTCTCATCGATCAGACACTTAATCTACTCATCATCAGCATCATTCCATCACACCACTTGCACTCCCATACCTTCTGTCTTCGACACGCCGTACAAGCCTTGACCTTTCTCGAAATCTGCGGCGGGAACTGATTCTCACCATTCTCAGCTTCAGACCAGCTTCGCTTCGACATCTTGGCGGGCCGTGTCGTCAATTCCGACTCCATCTAAGTTGAAGAGTAATGTTTGGCGTCTGGTTGGCGCGTGCCGAATCTGGGGAAGTTGGACTAGACTGGGTTTCTGCGGGGTTTATATAATCCGGGGCGGGACGCTTCCGAGGTCCGAGACCAAACATGATCTGGGTTCCGACAAAGTGACCTTGGTGATATCGGGGAGCTCGGGGGGACTGCCCGCCGTTTTTATGCATCCGGAGCGGGTCGATACGTCGGCGATGCGGCGTGGTACAGGCGGAACTGGTCCACTTTTGCCGGTTACCATGGATTTGTGATTTGCTTCACGCGGGATATACTGAGCTGAGGCATTTGCAGGCGGAAGACTTAGTTCCGCCTAACTATTATTTCCGAGCATCTAGTTGTTGTCTTGGAGATATTTAGGCTTGTCTGGGTCAAATCCGACGAGACAATTGACCGTCTCGTTGCCCTCACCACTATCATTGATCTGATCACCCTTGGGTCCACGCCACTTTCCTGTCAACTTGATATACCCATCCAAAGCATTGTTCAACGTATGTCCAACTTCAAGAGCCTCAGCTGCTCGAGTATGAGAGTAATACGTCAACAGGCTCTGAGCTGCCTTTCGCTCTCCCTGCTTGATCATAGTCAAGGCTGTCTTTTCCACCCAACCTTCGACCTGGACGCGAGATGCGCTCTCGAAGTTCTCAAACATCTCTGTCACGACGGGGTGGTATTTGTTGGGGTCTGAGCACATGTAGTACAATACACGCTTGAAGATGCGGCCAGCAAACTCGGAAGCTTCTTGTAGTTGATAGTCTGGGTTGAGGAAGCTGCTCGAAGCGCCAGTCGTCAAGTATCGATGCTCGCCGAACTCGGGAGGGACGGACTGTACACCGAGCCACCATGGGACGAAAGGTGCAGCGACAGAAGTGGCGGGGGCGTTCCAAATTCGCAGCATGTCCCTGTCGATCCCATCATGGAGACTGACAACTTGTCCGTAGCCAGCTTCATCGTCCGCAATGCGAGGATCGCGTACTCTTTCCATCATCTTGACTTCAGTCACAGGAACCATCGCAAGGGTGGCGTTCTCCAGAGCCGCCTGTGACATGAATTTGTAGCCTCCATCGCGGGCCTTGTATCGAGGATCTTGAGGACCATACACATCAAAGATGTTGAAAGGCTTGCCCAAAGTCTTATTCCACCAACCCTGCTCAACAGCAAATGACACAATGTTGTCAGATCCGGCATAGTCCGGGTTGTTCTTGAAGTTGGTAGGGAAGTCTTCGATGTAGCCTGGGTAGAGGACTTTGACGTCGTTTGGACCAAGACGTTGAGCAGCCCAGAGCTTCTTGCCGCCAGCCATTTCCCAAACAACCCAGCCCTCATCCTTATCAGCAATAAGGTGAGAGTTGCCACCGTACGTTGCTTCACCGTACTTCGCCATCAGGTCTCCAATGATTTCAACGCCCTCACGGGCACTGCTAGCTCTCTCCATAACAATGCGAGCAAAATCGCTATACTGCACACCGCGCTGAGGGTTCGGCGTCATCTCCAGGAGCTCATCACGATTATCAGCCCATACATCACGAACTGTCACACCCTTCTCATTCAAGCCACCATTCGTCAAAGGCGCAGGAAAACCCTCAAAGTCAGAATACTCCATACTCATGTATCGAAACGTATGATTCACTTGTGGAATCTGAATAAGCTCTCCCGGGTACACGGCATCTTTGGTGACGCCGACAGTAATCGTCGAGTTGGGAGGATGGTCACGCGCTGGGAAGAGCTGAAGCCAATGGCTAGAAACTTCTTCTCCAGTGCCTCCGACGATGACACTCCCATCTTGAGTGAGGTTCTTGCCAACGTAGAAGGCATAGCTCGCTGAGGCCGGACAAGCCAGCCAGAGCGTAGCCGCGAGTGTAGCGTAGTTGAGCATGATTCTTGCCGCGAGAAAAGGCACGATGAGAAAAAGAGCGCATGAGTAGTATCGTGGTTTACAAGTATATCTATAGCTTCATGGCGTTCACGTGATCGTCGCTCAATTACTCAGTAGGGAAGCAAGAAGCCGACATTAGCTTGAACGCTCTCCGTAAACCGGCTTGGCGTGATGGAGTAAGACTGGGTTCATGCTGGGACATTGAATGGTAGGATTGAGCTAAATGATAGAATTGTAGAGTATGACCGAGCTAAATGGTGGAAATAGAGAGGTTGGCGGCCGTTGTTATCTCGGAGAATAGTCTGGGGCAGATTTGCTGGAAGAATAAGCTTAACATCGGCAAACTTTTACTGAGTTTTGTGTTCGCCGACGACTGCATTACCATTCGGCGTACAGATCAAAATGCGATCTCCAAGGGTCTAATTAGGATATAAGGTAATGATCACTTAGTTAGAAGGTATAGATGATTGAATAAGTATTTATTCGTAAAGCAAAAACTCCAAATGGCTATAATAAATATGCCTCAATTAAATGCGCCACCCATCATGAATCATTCATTCCCTTTGTCCAGCAAAGTAAGAGTATTTATGCGAAAACAGACTCAAGAACCAGCTCGAAATATCTCGATCGAGGTTGAGGTTGAGTTCGTTGTGTAGGTTGCGCCCGGATTGTCTCCCTGTTGTATTGACGGCTCAGCGAGCGGCCTGCAACTGTAGCGCCTCCAACGGTCAAGACGATGGGGAGGAC